TTTTGGGTTAATTTCCGCACTCATAATATATATTTATTCCATAAATTTATTTATTTCTCGACCATTGTGCACAATGAAAAATGTGTAAATTTATGAAATGAATGACAACTAACATGCATGATAATGATATATATGCATATTAGGTGTGTATTACATAAATTTACTTATCTTTCGAGCATTGTACACTTCCTATATATATATATATATATATATATATATATATATATATATATATATATATATATATATATATATATATATATATATATATATATATATATATTTCATTATCATGCACGTTAGTTGTCATGCATTTCGTAAATTTATACATTTTTTCATTGTGCATTTCATAATATATATATTAGTAGTATGCATATTAGTTGTCTGTATTGGTGTATATCTTTTTCCTTTTAATTTTTCTATGTTTTTATTTTTTTTATTCTTTTTCCTTTTTATTATTTCTTTCTTTCTTTCGATTCACTTTTTATTTTTTTCTTTGATTTATTTTTTATTGTTTTTATTTATTTTTTATATTACTTTATTTTTTAATTTAATTTATTTAATATTTAATATTTAATATTTAATTTTTATTATTACTATTTTTTTCTAACATTTTTAACTTTTTAGAGAAATTTTAATCCGTCAGAGGTAAGTAATTCGGATCGAATAATTTAAATTTTAATTTTCGCGAACAAAGACAACCGACAATTTAATTGGTACCGAAATTACGGTTCAAGGGTGCTAATCCTTCATTGACCGTAACCGACTCCCGAACCCGAAACGTTTTTGGTACATCGTAGATCAGGTAAGATGGTGCTCGATCTACCTAATATTGCTTTAAAATGATCGGTGGCGACTCTAAAACATTTAATTCAAGTCGAAGTCTAATTTTGGGGCCCAATCGAAAGACGACTTCGATAGATGTAATGTAATTTGTTTAAAGGTTTGGATTGAAAAGAAGAAAATGTTTAACATAATGCGATGTAGTTGGTAGTGATTAAGAAAATTGTATGTCCAATCTTGACATCATAACATCATACAGAATTTGAATAATTTATAACATTTAGGTTCAATATTAATTTTTATCAATTTATTTTGATGTAGATGTCCAGTATGGCAACATATGTTGAGAGCAGTGTTTCAACTATTTATCAAATTCAACAAATTCAACGACTGAAGCTACAAGTCAAACAACAACAAAAAAGGGACTGCAAGTAAACGAAAAGCTATTCCTTTACGGTCAGAAGTATGATCTCATTTCTATGTTGTGTAGGTAATATGTTCTCTTAAGATATGAATGGTTGAAACTTGATAGAGAACATCTTGGTTGGTATGGCAGCAGCAATCAACAACTTATCACTTTAGCACTGTAACATCCCCAACTCGTACCCGACCCGGATACGAGTCCTAGATGTCACATTGACTTTTTAAAATAATATTCTTACAAAATACAAAACGTTTAGACTTATATTAAGAAAATACAATAATTTACTATTAAATTATGTTCGTTATAAAATTTTAAGGCAAAAACGTATTTATGAATAGTACTATAAACAATACCATGAACAATACCGTTTCTAAAAAATTTCCAGAATCCTGCAGGGGTATCGATACCCTGCTACAATATTGCTACAGTAATTTAACCATTCATCACTATACATTTACTATTTACATATATACGTTTAAAATATTACAAAAGTCGATCAGAGCATACATACATACTAAATGACTCTATTTACATGCCAACACATATATTACATAAATAGACATACTGTGCAAGGTTCTTCTGATCTGATCTTCAAATCTGATCTTCAAATGATGATATGTTGTTTTGCTGCTCTTAAGATCGATCTTCTTGTTTTTTTTGTAACTACGTGTAAATCACTTACAAGCTAAGTCATAGACTTAGTGAGGCATAAACTTATAATGATAATGCATTTCTTATGAATATGAACATGCAACATAGTAATCAGAATTCCATATCATTTTCTATGATTCAATATATATATACAATACTGATATTATAACATATAAGGCGATACACATTTTTCATATGATTTATAGGCCCATGTATATACTGAGAACATAAGGTATTCGAGTACATAGAGGTTGTGGACATCTGTTGTCACCACAGCTCGTATAAGTCCCACTGAGTGGCATATGAAATTTTGTCTCGAAGGACCTGTGAATATGTCCCGAAGGACCTATGAGTTGTCCCGAAGGACCTATAATGCCCTCGACTCTTGGCATGTCAACTATACCTAGAGCTCTCATATTACATAACATGGGCATTAATATTATTTTTCATATAAACATGTACTCATGTCATTTTCTTTGTAATCACATATGTTTTTTCTTCAATCACATTCACATGTGCATATAACCATCCATCTTATATCATATAATATGAGTCATATAACATATATCAAATCATATGTAACCATATATAATTTATGCATATTTAATAAAAACTATAATGTATGCATGTTCATAACCATTATACTATGAAATTGACCTAGGAAATAGACTCATCGCAAGTCTTATTTCCATTAGATTATCCCTATATTATGCACTCACCTTGGCCTTGCTTGCGTTGATTCAATTCTAATTCTTCGATTGTTTCGGAACAGGATTACGTTCTATATCTACACAAACATAATTTCAGAGACGATTATCAAAAGCCTAACCTTATAACTTGATACTAATAGCTTAAACGAATTTATTGAATCCATATTCAATTTTTCCTTTAGGGGGTATCAATACACCCCTTGAGGTATCGGTACCCTTACTGCATTCTGTTATTTTTTGTTCAAGAGTACCGATACACTCTGCCCAAAACAAGCTTTTTCCCCGAAAATTCATTAACTCTTCTCTGAATTTCCTCATACAAAACTCCTTTCATACCACTAAACTCAACTACAACTATTTTAACTAACTTTTATCATTCCCACACCTTATTATCTCCATACTTCATTCAAATTCCTAAAGCTAAGAATCATACCCAATTTTTCATGTTATCCAAAGTTAGTTCTAACACTTATAACTTATTATTCACACCTATGACAAATCAAATTCAACTTCTAAATCCATTTATACATCCTTATTCAAAATTTCACTTCTCCACTTCCTATCTTTAATCATTCATAACTTACAAATCTTTGAGTTTTTATAACCTTTTTCATCTCCATCATCTTTCCTAAAGCTTCATAAATCAAAATCATGCTTCAATTTTAAAGATTAACCAAAAGAAATCAAACTCACCTTGGGCTTGGGCGCTTCACGTTTGGAGAAGAAGAAGATAAGTCTCTGGAAACTTATCTCTTCAATTATGATTCACATGGATATTATAATATCCACTAATTATTATTTTATTCTTTTATTTGCTCAATGACCCTTTTACCCTTTTACTTCTCCTTCACTTATTAATTCATCATACACCAACATTTTTTAATTAATTCCTTCACTTTTCAATTTATCTGATTTGGTCATTGAATTTTAAAATCTTACACTTTAATCACTAACCCGGTATTGAGGATGTTACAAGCACAACCTTCATGCACCATGTTCCATTTATTTTGTAGAATTTCATATTAGTTGGGTTTTTTAAACTAAATTGATAGATACAATTATCTTATTTTAATATAATGTTTAATCAAAATTTTAAAAATTTTATTTTATAATTAGATATTATTTAAATTAATTGTAAATTGTTTTTTAATTAAAAAATTCAATTGTTATATAAATTAGAAAATTTTAAAAATTTTCTGTTAATTCAAATATTGACTGAATTAACCAAAATTTGTTCAGTTCAATTAATAATTTTCAAAAAAAAGTTTGGTTAATTCAATTATGGTTAATTCGGTTCGGTCGATGATCGAATTAACCGTTTGAACACCCCTAGATTTAAGATCTAGCAGAGAGTGATACTATGTTAAAGATTCAACAAGGAAGATTATCAAAAACAAAAATAAGATTTTATATTAGGGGCAAACTTATAAAATTTTAGAGGGTCAAAGTAATTTATCAATATAAAATACAAAAAAATATCTAAAATATATGAGAATTTAAATTTTTTAATTATATCTTGAAGATTATAAAACTGATATCAAAGAAATGATATATGAACAAATTGATAAAAGAATACTTTAATACATCTTTTATGATTCAGGAACTGTTTTACATTCTACAAATGAATAGCTATTTAAGGAGCTAAATGGAAACTGTTTACACTCGTTCAGTTGTTATAACTCGTTCAGTTGTTATAACAACATAACCAACTTAGCCACGTGTCACTAACAGCCTAACCATTTTTATATACATTTTAACATGCAGCAGCCAAAATAGCAGCATTAGTCCCCAGGAGTCCTGAAATATGTGTAAATCAAATGATCGATTTTATGCCAAAATAGCAGCAGGGAACTGACTCATGCATATACAACTTGATAAGGGAAATAAAAAGTTTACGGAGTTCTCCCTGTATGTTTCATGGGCAACAAGTTCATCCATTGGAACATGTCTAGTAAGTCAAGCATAAATAGTGAGGATCTACCCTTAATTCAGAGCAGACACATATCCATCTTAAATTCTAAATTTTTTCCGATTAGTTATTTATTTTATTAATTGTCTACTATTAAATTTTATTTATATTCATCTCGTGTGAAAACTTTATATTATCAATGCATGTGCCCACCTTTAAAAATATTTCACGTCTCTCTCTCTACCATAACAATTCAGCTCCGAAATTGTATCACTAGGATAATGCTTGATATTGATAGCATCTTTGGCTAGATTTATCAAATATGAGGAACACCTGAAGAAAAGATAAACTTAACATAAAAGAAGAGCCTTCCAGTCAATCATCTTGATTCTCAACTTCAGCCAAAGGTTGGCATGAAAGGTATTCAAAGTAATTATGGAGAAGCAGCTGCAACCAGGAAACAAGGACCAAACCATCTAGGGGTATTTGAAAATTACGTCTGATAATCAAGACTTGAAATTCCTTTTTGAAGTTCTTGAAATTAGACTGCTTATGAGAGAAAGTAAAACAGATCTGAGTAGCAGCAAAACATCTAGATTCACATACCAATAATTTGTGTTTGAAGTACAGAGAGATACGCATGTCGTTACACTCGGCTTTCTTGCCAAGGCACCAAGATAGAAGTTTTGGTACAAGGTTGATGATTTTGGTTCAATGATTTGTGTTTGTTTATTACAGTACAGTACAGTACAGTACAGTAAGAAACCTGCACACTGTGAACGCATCAAGTTCAATGTTTGCAATTTCTTTAGCTACAACCCATATGCAAGTCTGAGGCGCTCTTCCAAGTATTCTAAGGATTTTATAGGTGGGAATCTGCATGTAAGAATGAAAACGTACTACCTATCTTTTTTATGATAAACATGTATGAAATGCATGATGCTTCCATTTCTTACTTTTCTTCACGTATCCATTTTCGACGCATAGTTGGTAGGGGTATATAACCATCCAAGTACATCAAAAAAATATAGAAAAAGTTAAGCATGCATGTATCTGACACTCATCCGAGTCTAAGCATCATAGTATGAAAAATAAACGGGCAAGGAAGGTAGATCCTATTTGTCTTTCATTTGTATTTTAACAAACAACGGCCACTTCTTAGATTTCAATTATAATGTGCTCATCAATACTATTTGAGCAGAACACATCAGTGTTCTATTTGATAGTTTTCTTTAACTATAATTGAATCATAAACATCAAAAGTACCAGCTGAATCGATATCTTGGCGGGCAAGACTCGCTGCAACAACTTTCCATACATTCCACAATACAATCCTTACTGGGATTCGTGAAGAATGCCACCTGAAATGTTCGCAACATAGTTATACAACTTTTTAACAGAAAAGGCTTCCCTCAATTGAAGAGTGATAGAATTAGCAGTGTGCAATGACTGGTGATAGCATTTCAATCCTTTGTCCCCCATCAAACAATCAAATTATGAACAGATAATATTGCCCTCAACACGAAGCTTACCAAAGTTGAAAGAACATTAAACAAAATGTTCATAACATAATTTAAATTTCCCAAAAAGATGTGCAATGCAACTATTATTCTGAATTATTTGGACATGAATACTTGACTAAAATTAAACAGTAAAGGGTGAATCGTTACAGAGTAGCGTTCTTGTCTAGGTTGCAGAACTCTGTGCAGGGTTGACCTGATGCATGACGCAAAATTAGGGATACAAAGAAACTGGCATTATTGTTTTACAAATCCTCCAAGAGAAGCATCGACAGCTATTTAAGATATGAGGCAACTGGGTTACCTGAATAAACAATTAGTCCACCTCTCCATCATGTCCCCAATGTTAACAATGAATGCCCTACAGATTCACATCCAAAGTTCAGAGGCTAAGTGGCAAAGATTATAACTATGTTGCTTCTCTTTTCTTTACTTGAACAATCTTCCATCTTTAATACTCACCCACTCAAGCTTGGCACATCCTCCCAAACCTGTGGTTGCGCAGATTTCTCCTTGCAAATCTGGGTTTCACAAAGGTGAAACGGATGTTGGACCGAAATAAAAAATGTAAGGTTTGGCTATTATTAACAAGGAACACCCCTGAAGCCCCGGGACACCATCAGTCACCAGAAGAGTGACGGTTTCATAATCTGAATGAACAGAAGCACCATATATTTCTTCGCAAGAAGTGTCCAAGTCTCCTAACATCAAAATTTAGAGACATAATGTTATATTCTTAAGGTTTTGTGGCTCTGAACTTCTAATCATCTCTTTTCTTTTTATCTATATATATTTCTTCACTGGAATGGAAAATTGCATATACAAGTGTAATGCCAAAGATTAAGGAAGAAAAGGGGAAAATACTCCATAAAAAAACTTCACATCAATCAATGACTTCAACAAATATGAAGAAACCAAATAGTTCTCGCATACCTGGATAATGTAATAAACGAATAAATGCAAATGGTTCATTAAGTGCGCCCACTTTTTCAAAGAAATCTTCTTCTAATTTCAGGGACAGGGCAATTAAAGAAAGTAATTTAGTCACAGCAGACCTGTTCAAAACAAATTTGGCAACATTAAACCTTGCAGTATTTCCATTCTACAAGCTGGTATTCTGAAACACTTCTACCAGACTACCAGTAGAACAATGTCCTATGCACAGAAGCAGCTGAATCTCATAGGATCGATTTCCAAGCAAGATAAAATCAAATTCAAAACTCAAAAGTATGTTTTGAACTGGGATGGAAAGGAAATTTATAAAAGTGTTAAAACCATTTATCAAATTATAGAACAAGCTCTTTTCTAAATATAAAGTACAAGGAAACCAGAGATGTATGAAATAAAACCAATATCTGAACTAACATCAGGGACTCACCGCACTTTTTTATGACAAGTCTCCATTGTGCTTCTCCAAGAAGGCAGATCTTCTGAAGTTCCCCAGCAAAAAGAACATCTTAGTATAAACCAATTAAATTTCTCACATGAAGAAAAAAATTATACAAGGTAAGAAAACAACTAAACAAGATGCTTTGTACAAGATAACCATATGTGCCTTCTAAAGGCCATTGATTCAGGTTATCAGCAAGCGGACCAATATAGAAACTTTCTTTAGAGTCACCTGTTTTCCAAGCAGTCAAAAGTAATCAATTTGACATTAAAATCACCTTTTACATGGAAACCATAAAGAAATTAAGAAAGCAAACTGCTCAAATGGGTTCATTCGAAAATCTTGGATAACCCCACTATTAACAGGCGGCTTCAGGAAAATATTAAACAGTTAAAAAGAGAAAAGAAAAAGGAAAGGTTAATCAATTAAAATAAACACATAAAAATACCTTGACCTTAATATCACATGCACAACATGTGTCATTGAAACTAGTACATTATATAAATATGGAGATATTGGTAATCTAATAAATATAAAAATATACTTGGATATAAACACAAAATTTATAACACGAATCACGGTGGTAAAAAAAATTGTTATTATTCCTTGACGTCTCGAGTTTGGGCATCATGAATGTTAAGAGCATTAGCATTTAATGTCATATGATTAAGAATTATTTTTGAACAAATATTATCATATATTTACCTAAGATTAATAAAAAAACACAAAATTTATAATGAGATATTTATTTGAAAATACTATGTAATATATTACATAAAAGAAAAACCATGATCGAATACCCTTTCACACATGCATAAGTTATTGATTGCAATTTCTGGAGCAGAAGTGAGTTTGAAATAACTTCAACTACACCCCATAAGTAACTCTAAGGCGCTCTTCCAGGTAGTCTATGTACTTGATGGGTGGGAATCTGCGTACAATGATGAAAACGTGTTACCCTTTTTTAAATATTCGTACTCAATACATATGGGATACATATTTGGATACCTTGGCGGACAAGTGTCAGTGCAACAGCTTTCCAAACATTCAACGATACAGTCTTTGCTGGGATTCATGAAAAATGCCACCTGCAAACAATTATAGAATGAACAAAGTGCAAACATTTCAATTTAGATGGATCAGGAAAGGGTGAATGAATAGTTACAGAGTAGTGTTCTTGTCTGGGTGGCAGCACTCTGTGCAGTGTTGACCTGCACATGAGCCACACAAATTACAGGATATAACAAAACAGCTGATCCAAGGGAAGCATCAACAGGACACTTGATTACCTAAACAAACAATTGGTCCACCTCTCCATTGTGTCCCCGATGTTAACGATGAACGCCCTACAGGTTTGGATCGAATGTTCAGAGGCTGATTTCGCAAAGATAATAACCAAGTTGTTCCATTACTTAAACCAGTACTTTTGTTCCATTATAATTTAACAATCTGCCATCAGTAATACTCACCCCTTCATGCTTGGAACATCCTCCCAAACCTGCGGTTGCTTTGATTTGTCCCTGCAAATCTGTTTTCCCATAGATGAAACAAATATTGGGTTGACATACATAATTCAAGGATGTCAAATTATTTACAAGGTACACACACCTGAAGTCCCGGAACACTGTCGGTCACCAGAAGAGTGATCATTCCATAATCTGAATGAGCCGAAGCACCATATATGCCTTCACTAGAAGACTCCAAGTCCCCTAACATCAAAATTAAGGTCTTATGTCTCTCAACTTCTAATCTTTTTTTCTATCTATATATTTTTCACTCGAATAGAAAGCTTTAGATTCACAGATTAAGGAAGAAAAGGGAGAAATATAAACAAGTCAAGTAGTGTGGAACCATACCTGGGTAATGTAATAAACGAAGAGATGCAAATGGTTCATTAAGAGCTCCCACTTTTCTAAAGAAATCTTCATCTAATTCCAGGGACAGAGCAATTAAGGAGAGTAATTTAGCCCCAACAGACCTGAGGAAACAAATCTAGCAGCCTCAGTCTTCCTATTCTAATGGAAACTTTTTTGGGATGATTAAAAGGTAGTATATATTCATAATTTTCTTAACTATTAGCAACGCAGCTTGAACACAGGATCTCTAAAGAGAACAACATCCCTTTAATCACTGAGGCCACTTAATGATTCTAATGGAAACTCATTGCTGTAAATCATCTGTAGCATCTAAAGCTTGTATTATAACAAAGAATTAAGTCTAATAAGGGACTCACAGCATTTTTTTATAATAAGTCTCTATTGTACTTCTCCAAAATGGAAGATCTTCTGAAATTTCCAAGCCCAAAGAACATTTTAGCATAATCAATTAAATTTCTTATATGAGATGTTTATAAGACACTAATACATACCTTCTGAAGGCCACTGATTGAAGCCATCAGCTGGTGGACCAACATAGAAACTTTCTTTAGAGTCACCTGTTTTACATGATCATTGAACATGAAACTCAAGAAAAATGTTGAGCACTTAAAGGAAGAGATTAAAACAAATAAACTACCTTTGGTATTTAGAGAAGAATCAAGCTTTTCAGCATAAAGTGCTGTATAACCTCTGTGATTCTTTTTAGCAAACTTAATCTTCTCTTCAACTGGGAATGAAAAGAACTTGCTACTCTGCTCAAAAACTTTGTTAACCAATTCTTCATCACACCCATGATTTACAAGGTAAAAGAAACCATGGTCAATGCATGCCTGTACAAAAATTCTCAAGTTAAAAATCTTGTAAAACCAGTGTCTTTTCGATTGATCCAAACTCCAACAAAAGACAACCTGACGGATAGAATTGGCGGTGGAGAATCGGTCTGGTGAGGACAAGTCAACGACCGGAAGTTGTAGAGCGTCCGACATCTTTGTTTTGTGCGGTAGCTGCTGCCGCTTACGCTACTCCAAATAAGTTTATAAAAGATGAGGGGAGATGATATTTCGTTGTCTAAAAGATTTACCCATATCTGCTGCCACTCCAAATAAATTTATAAATTAAGATTATCCAAAAAAAAATTATAAAATACGAGTGATGATTTTGTCTCCAGATATACCCATACCTGCTGCTGCCACTGCAAAATAATAAAGAATCACTTAATTATGTTGAAATAATTTTTTAATTGTTAAAATTAAAAAAAAAATATTAAAAGTTATTATTAATTCTTATCAAAGAAATGACATAACTTAAATAAATATATAATATCTCATTCAGCCTTCAATTATAATTACATTTTATTTAATATTTTTCTAAAATTTCAAAGAAATAATCTCAAAAGGTAAAAAGGATTTAGATTTTTTTCAGAAAATATAAAATTTATATTTTTTAAATTGTAAAAATATTTTTAAAAATTATAATTTTAAATTCTTTTTACGATTTGTAAAATTTTAATAAAACTCCTCATATTGCTTGTTATTTACATTGTCACTCTCCATGTGACCTATAACAAAGTTTAATGATCAATATTTTGTATTTCTTCTAAGCATAACAAACTTATTTTTGTATTCTTTAAAGCTTTTATAAAACATGTAGTAATTTTATCATAAAATATGTGGTAATTTTAAAGCATATGTTCTAATTTAATCATGTAATTATCTTTAAAAATTTAACATATCCGAATGATTATAATAATTTTGAGTTATAAATCGTATATGCTTACTGATAAGCTTTCGATTATACTAGATTTTAAAAAAAATCTAGACTTTATCCTTTATTTAAGGAGTTGTTTTTATAAAATATTTCAAAATTATTAGATTAGTGATATATTGAAAAATAAAGGATTAAATTAGAAGAGTGGTATTATTCAAATATTTTTTTGTCCTATATATTAAATTTATAGGCAAAACTTTCGAGATAATGTTCTGGAAAAAATTAATTTACGAGATAATGCACTCTCCAGATTAATTGCTCAAATAGAGTAAAATCCACAGTGTTGGCCGTAGGTCGCCATGCCTTCCCGGCGAGCTACAAGAGATTGCATGTGCCATGCACACCCCAACACGCTGGGCATCCGAGGCCATCCGACCGAGCTATGCGAGGGCAGCCGAGCGAGCTATGCGAGGGCATCCGAGCGAGCGAGCAAGGGTAGATCACCCGGAGTGCATGGCGACCTACAAGGTCGCCCGGAGAGCATGACGACCTATGTGTTGGGACGTGCATGTGTAATGTAACACGTTCATTCTCTCTGTTTGAGTAAGGGTAGGTCGCTCGAAGTGCATGGCGACCTACAAGATCGCCCGGAAGGCATGACGACTTACGCCCAACTGTGGATTTCATCCTATTTGAACAATTAATCTTGGGAGTGCATTAACTCGTGAATTAATTTATTCCAGAACATCATCTCGAAAGTTTTGCCAAATTTATATGATATGAGTATTAAATATACATATATTATTATTCGAGATAAATTATTCTAATATATGTTTATGTTTATATTATTGGTATTATTCAAATATATTTTTACCTGTATATTAAATTTATATGATATAAGTATTATATATATATGTATTATTATTCGATATAAATTAAGATATTGTTCTTTTTTGTAAGATTAATTTATGGAACTTCTCTAAATAGCTTAAGTGTCTTGCCGAGGCTTACTTGAGCAAAAGAGTTTCCTTTTCATTCCTAAATGTGTTTTATACTATATAGTATTAAATATATATGTATATTATTATTCGATTTAAATTAAGGCATTGCATTTTTTTTTGCAATATTAATCTATGTAACGCTTCTAAATACTTGGAGTGACCTCTGGTGGTTACTCAAGCAATGAGGTATCTTTTTCATTCCCGTAATTATGTAAAAGTAAATTATTTTTATAAAAATTAAATTATATTTATTTTATGAGAAAATACCTCAAATGAAGAGAGATCTATAAGAAAACGTACGAGTGAAAGAATATCCTCATCAATTTCAACTTAATTTAGTATAAATATTTGTGTATAAATTTAAATTTGTTTATTATATTTAACATTTTATTCATTTTATACATGTCACTAATTATGGTTGCATTCGTTAATCATGCATTTACTTTGGATTTTAGTAAAATAGGAAGGCAAGGTTGATTTATGTCAAGAATTAATGGAATCGTATCTCATATAATTGGATGACAATTCTCGTTAATTTTTTAGGTAAAAGACATCATTTTTAAATTATTCAAATATTTTATAAGAAAATTCACTCATTGTTAAATTATTAGAAATGAAAGGATCGCAATTTAAATTTAGAATTCTAGTGTATAAAATTTCATTATTTAGATAATGTATAATTGAGAAGTACTAATTTTGTACGATGTGAGTATATTTATCTTTCCCCACACGTAATCAACTTTCAAACTCTTATGAATCTTTGGTAAAATGTAGACTAATTTTTTTCTTTTAAATGATTTTTTCTAAAATCCTATTAAAAAAACATTTTTAGGTATTCAACTTACCTAGTCCGATAGAGCTATTTTTATTTTATTTTCTTAGAAAAATAGAAAATGTTAAAAAACTTGTTTGGTTATAAAATTAGAAAATGATTTTTAGAAAATGAAAACAAAATTGAGTGAAACATTGAAATAATAAAAAAAACATGTTTTCAGTAATTTTGCTAAAATAGTTTTTAAAATCTAATAAACAAAAAAATACAGGGTTTATATTTTAACTTATTCAAGTTTAATTTTTTTAAATACAGTTTTTATATTTAATAGTATCTAGGGCCCTCAAAATTTTACAAAAGAAAAATTAATTTGCTCCTGAAACTTTTGTATACTTAATATAACCCTTAAATCGACTAGTACTAAAAGTTAAGTATTATTTTAAAAAAATAAAAATTTAAATATTAAAACGAATCAAAGTTAACATTTTAAATATTAAAAGTATAGTTTATAAAAAAATTCTATAAATAAGTTATAATAATAATAGTAGTAGTTTGATCTAAATAAGATTCATCACACAAACGTTGTCAATTTTGACCCTAGAGCAAAACCGCCAAAGTAAACAATAGCATCGTAGTTGCGTCCTTATTTTTGTATACAATGTAAATAAATGGAACATCAAACCTAAAATCGTAGTACCATAAAAAGGGGTCCCCGGGTGAAACTCGCTTGTTGTACAACTGACCTACGAAAATAAATAAATAAGCTTATTTTTATTCAACAATTTCTTCTTCTTCTTCGGCTGCTCTACCTTTGCTCCGCCACTTCCTCCACCGAGTTCTGTTTCTTTTCTGAATTTGTTGTCTTTTAAGAAGTCTTGTCGTTTATGTGTAGTTGCTTACTTTATTCTTTTTCGTTTTGCTGCTTTCGATGGCTAATGCACCAGTAAAGTCACAGCCTTTACACAACTTCAACTTCCCGTTTCTTAAATGGGGGACCCATGGAGGTGGAAGTTCTTCGAACACCAACGCCGACAACCTCCGTTCTCCCGAATCCTACTCCGACCACGACCGTCTACGTCCGACGCGTGTTGGGTCACGCACCACCCGCGTTTACCGCTTATCCTTTCCTCCCCCACCTAGAACCATCAAACAACAACCCCGCGAAGAAGAAGAACAACAACACAAACAAGAAGAAGAGTCGTTAAAACCGCGGGGAAACGAAGCTGAAGAAGACGATGATGATGAGAAAACGGTGCAGAGACCGTGGAACTTGAGGTCTCGCAAGTTGGTGGTGGAGACATCGGCTGCGGAAAAGATGAGTAAAACGGCGGCGCCGAAGTCGATGAGATTAAGGGGTTTGACTGAGAATGGAGGGGTTGCAGTAAAGAAAGAGAAAAGGAAGTTTTGGATAGCTTTATCGAAGGAAGAGATCGAAGAAGACATATTTGTGATAACAGGATCAAGACCTGCCAGAAGGCCCAAGAAAAGGTCTAAGAACATTCAGAAACAACTTGATGTAATGATAAATCTCTCTGGGTTTTCGTTTTTCATTATTTTTCTGATCATCATTTAATCTTTATATTTTCTAATTTTTGGTTTTTTAGAATGTTTTTCCTGGGTTATGGTTGGTTGGTACCACGGCTGATGCTTACCGAATTGTTGATGTTCCCGTTAAGGTTTGTTGCTTCATCTAAAATTTCATTTTAACTTGTTTATAATTATGATCTTCTTATCTCATCATTCAAGTTTCTTCAACTTGCCAGATTCTTAACAATTTCCCATTTATAAAAGGTTGTCTCTAAGTTTGTGTTCTTTGAACTTATATTGTTGTTTTTATTTTCCTGCAGCTAAAATTAGTTTGGCGATAGTGTTTGCAGGGGATGGTAATGGTATTAGTGAATATGGAAAATCTTGGAGCTTTGTAGGGTATGACACATTGAGACTTCAATTTTTTAAGGTGTAATGAAAATATGATGGTTGTAAAGGAAGACAATGAGAAGATATTTAAGCTTCTTTTATGTTTCTTATTTCCAGTCCTGCAAAGGGAAGAGTAGGGTTAGAGTCTTGGTTGATTTATAAATTGATGGTAGTCTTTTAAGACATCAAATATGAACATAAATATGGATGAAAAAAGATAGTTTCATTCAAATGCTTTTCATTTCAGTATACAGAATCAGTATTTCCATGATTTTTGTAGATTTTTCTGATGTGTTGATTGCTTACATTGTTTGACAGGCTTCCTTACATTGATGGGGGGGAGAGTTTCAAGCTCTGTAGTTAATTGTAATCCGACTCTAAACCGATACTTAAAATATGTTACTGAAGGGTACTGCATTCTCTATTTCTGGACGAGCTCTTCCTCTGTACATATGAGCTTTCACCAGGAGGAGCACCTCATAAGGTTATGATTTAGTTATTGCATTTCTTTGTTCATTTTGATTTGGTCAAAATTGCATGGCAGCTCACAAGAATGACTCCTCTATCTTACATGACAATTCTAATGACCCCAGTTTGAAAATAGTTAGCTTGTGTTTTATATAGGATCCTTTGCCACTTGTAAGATGATAACATTAGGGTATAGTGCCTGCAGGAGATTAAAAATCATCTCAATATGCCTTAAAGAGTATGTTGACTTTTACTATTGATTAGGCTCTTTTCCCTTTATAAATGGTTAAATGGGGTAACTTGGAGCTAATTCAGCCCCTCACTGACATAAAAAAGTTTAGGCTTTTCAGTTTTCCTGAAAATGCAGATTTTGAAACTTGTTTATCTGCTTAACTAAATACAAGGTAATATTTGTTAAAAAACTCGTAACCATTCGATTATGAATGCTCATACATCTGCATACGCGGTGCTCGAACCCAAGATTTTAAAAGGTAACAACAATTCCTTAACTATTAAGATAGCTCGTTTCGTGAAACTAAAGCACTTCAATGGTGTCATATTTATTCTGTTTTCTGTTTGCTGTCAAGAAGCCTGCATTTTAATTGCATATTTATTACGGCCAACTTTTATTTCGTTTGCATGATTAATTAACTACATGTTTACAACAATCATGCCGGTATTTTTAGAAGATTGTATATAACTTCAAATATGTTTTAGTTCAAAGATTTGACTTATTAATTAGGGTAAACTACATGTTTAGTACCCAACTATCACTTTTGTTATATTTCTATCATCTAACTTTTTTTTTTCAAAATCAGATCTAACGTTGTATTTTGATTTCATTTTGGTTACATGCCATTAAAAAAATTTAATGATGATATGATATTATTTTATGATGACATGTTAACATCATTCTTAACTTTTTGAAACAAAAAAATAATAACTAGGTAATCAAAATGAAACAGAAGTTTCAAAATGAAACAGAAGTGATAGTTGAGGTAAAAAACTTGTAGTTTAGCCTATGAATTAATTGTTGTTTTCTTTTCCATGCCGAGATATATTCACAAGTTTTTTTTTACAAATGTTATGAACAAAGGATTTCTTAGACCACAAATTTTGAAGAAAGATGATGGCAATTGGATAGATGACATTGATTTTGGGTCCTATCAATGTAAGATGAGACCAATTATTGGTGTGATTTCAATTAAGGTTTTGCTATTCCTGATAAGAATGATAAAGTGTAACCTAAGGGGGGAAAATATGAAGCATTTATTTAAGAAAATTGCTTTTCAAGTATTGCCATTAAGACGATTTCTTTTCAATACATTCTTATCTGTCATCCCATTTTCGATGCTTAAATAGGGCCCCTACCCGATCATCGACTCCACATATGGCGGTAGTGTATTTAAAATTCTCATTATAACAATAGTGGGTGTTATTGTAATCAATATGGATATATTGTAACCATAAATTCCGATTTTGGATGGTTCTTTATTATTATATAACAATTATTATTTTGATAGTGAATTATTACGTAAATTCCGTAGATAATTATATGTTTTTTCCATTAAAAATACAATTCAATTGATAGTGTCTTTCGCTCTTCCTAGTAAAACATCGATCACTTCATCCTTATGAGTGACTATCTATCGACGCAGCTTGTATTTGAGTCCATGAGTAAACTTAGACACATATCCCTCTTGGTAGGTATTAGACTAGAACAATACTTCAACAATTTTAGAAACTCTATCTTATACTAAGGAATGATTATATGAACCAAGTACTGAAATTGGTGTCGCTTCTGCGTCAGATAACGCTCTCTCAGGTAACAATTCCTAAAACACTCCTTAAAAAAAATTAATGTCAGGCGATTGATTGAAACATTGTTCCCTAAAAACTCCCACCATAGAGACAGCTCCCAAATATCTTTATTGTGGATCTAAATCTAATTGATTCATACGTTACTTAGTATCACAAAATCAGTCCTCAACCTCAGTCGAAGCTCCGCCAATAGGGCCTCCAAAAGTCATATCTCCGTTAGCTATAAAGGTATGAGAAATGGAAACTTCAGGTGCAACGTCTGCAGCTTTGATAACGTAGTCAAACCTATATCATGAGTAGTTGACGGATTTATTAAGGTCATAGAGACAAAAGAATCTATTGGAATAGGGGATCTACACACGTCTCATCTATCATATCAACAAATCTAATCGCTCGACCTCGCCCACGCTAGGTAGACGACCACGTCTAGTACTCATCTTGAAGAATCTCGAGGTTCACTACAGAAAGGTAAAACCTAGGATTAGTTTTGACACTTGGAGTCTCATATAAAATTAAACTCGTAAAAGCTTGATGACATGGCCTTCGTAACTTATTTTTGTAAAACATTTCAAAATTATATTTTTATTTTAGACTCTTCTACTGTCAGAGGTTTAAAAACTAAAAGCTCTGATACCAACTAAATATAACCCCCTAGACCTAGCCTATACGTTACAACTAGATCTAGCAAATTACAATATAAATTTTCAAAATATTTTTCAACCTTTTAAAAACATATCATAATCAAACATCTTTAAAAACATAGTCAATAACAATAAATTCCAAATCGAGTAATATAAAATCGTAAAAGACTAAGTAAAATAAAATATTTTATAACCGATATCAAAGTAAACCTTACATAAGTAATAATATAAAAATAATGTCATAAACTAGTATATTAAATTATACACACATCATCCAAAATAAAGACAGTTTGGAAGATAAATACATTACAACAAAATGTATTGTATAAAATATGTCAATCTTCCAAGCGTCAGGTCTAGGGTGCCTATTGAAAAGTATATAAAATGAAAAAAAAAAAATTGAGCTAGTGAGCTTAGTGTGTTCCAACAGTGCATAATAAAAACATACAATTAAGTTTTAATATCAGTTCATTATCAAAGTGTGAAAACAACAATAAGGTTTTTAGTTAAAACGTAGAATTACCCTCCAACCGTATACCATATGCAGTTCCCTATAACTGCATCCTAAGGACTTACCCTAGACCCAAAGAGCGTAGAAGCTAACCTAAGGGAACACCTTAGCTCCATAACGTCTTATCCTAGCTGAAGCGTAGTAGCCCACTTGGGGAGTGCCCTCAGACCCATAAGGACTTACACAATGAACAAAGTAGAGGAGTCACCTAAAGAGTGTGTTTAAGGGTTAATAAGGTCTTATAACTAGGCCTATTGGGCCCAAGGGTCGCCTTAGGTCCATAAAGAATTACCAGCTTGATCAGAGCTGAATTTGCAAAGACTTCATACCTGGTCCCATAATACCCCGAAGAAAAATAGTTTCAGACAATGAACAATGAAACCAAGAATTCATAGTTCAGACATATATTTATTTTTCAGTAAAAATAGTAATCAGAGAACATGTATCCGACAAGCATGCTTCAGAATTTAGTAAAGAAGAAATCAAACTTTAATATAAATAAACCATACAATAGTCAAATCAGATCATATAATACATTTCAAATCAGAGAAAACAACCATGTGCACATGGTGTTTTAGAAATATGTTTAAAATAGGTATATAGTACACAAAGAACACACATCGCAAAAAGAGATCTATTGAGTATCGATCTCGCTATGTTCTATAGCAGTACAGGAACGGGTAATCACTGGCTCTCGATGTCGAGCAAATTGAGAGGAGTTGGGTCGATCTGACATATAATTGGGAGAATCACGAGTACCCCACGGTAGACGGCGAGGCAACGACGACCAGACAACAATATTGGTTGGGTTTTGGTCGTACGGAGACGGGGAGCCCAACTATGGTGGTGGTGTGGCGAACCGGTGACGGAGGCAGTCGAAAATTGTGAAAAACTGGGGGAAAGATTGGGTTTTCCGATGAAACTTTGGAGTCTTATCCACTGCAAACGACGGTAACTTTCGAAGATAGATCAGAGGGGTTTTGGTCGCGGTGGTCGGGGCTCCTGATGGATGAGGCGGTTATACCAACCGACGAGTAACGATGGAGATCCGAGACGAGGAGAATTGAACGGTTTCCTATTATGTTACGACGAACGGTGGCTGATTTAACTGAATCGATGGTCAGGGTTGGGTCGCGATTGGACGCCGAAGCTATTGGTGGCGACGATGCAATCCATGGCTGGCGGGAGAAGCTTGAACAACGATGAGGGTGACGGTGAGGTTAAAACGTTTTAGGGATTGGTTTTATTTTTGTTTGAGCGTTTGATTCTAATTCTGAATGGAAAAATCAGTTTTGGTAACACAAAATCCAATAGGTTAAATGATATAAAATATTTTAATTATTTATTACTCCAATAGTGACATAGCTTAGTTGGTAGGGACACGGTCATGCTTAGGGATATGGGTTCAAAACCCTTCAAAAAAATCAATTTGGTCTCTAAATAAATTAAAAAAAATTGGGCGTGCGCCATGATTCACTCACCATCTGGTTATGGCTAACAAGTAACATCAAAAAGTTAAAAGCTTTTCTTTTTCCTTTGATTTTCGCTTCACAGGGGATGATTCCAAGAAACTTGGGAACTGTTTTAAATTGAATTTCCAAGAAACTTGGGAATTGCTTTGATTTTCTTTTAAATTGTTTGATCATAGACGAGTAGATAGCCCGGATGATTACGATGATTCTATACATATGGTTTGTGTTGAAAAAGTTGTCTGCAAATGAAACGAAGGCTACCTGATTCGGTGACCGGTGACTTTTGATTGGAAATCATGTTACTATTTTTTCAAAAATTTCAGTTTTCTCAGTAGTTAAGCCTATGCTTTAGATTCGATGGTGCTCTGGTTTGATTCTTAAGGTTTAATTTTTTTTATAGCAAAATGGCGTCATTTTGTGATTTTTTTTCTGTGTCGAAATAGTCAGATAAAAACAACGTCGTTTTGTTGAGATGTCCACGTCGGCAGCCGTTAGCCACGTCATCATGCCGTTAACAATTTAACGGTTCAGTGGTATAATTGAAATAAAAATCAAAGTTCATTGCTATAATTGGAAAAATTGAAAGTTTAGTGGTATAAACAATTCAACACCTAAAGTTCAGTGGTATTTGGTGTAGTTTACCCTAATTTTTTTATGATTCTTTTAAATAAATTTTTTAAAATTACCTCAACGTGACACATGTTACTTAACAGAATTTTTTAAAGGCAGCTACACTCCAGACAC